GACGGAAATGGTTGTTTAGGGGATTGCTACGACACATTCACCTGTCTCGTACAGATACAATTTGACTTTCCAAAACAATTTTTTTGTTGTTGTTGCTTTATACTACGGGGGATTGAACTCAGAGCCCTCACCCAGAGCTACATCCCCAGTATTTTTTCAGTCTTCATTTTGAAGCAGGCTCTTGCCCAGTCTCTAAACTGCCCGGGTTGGTCTCGAACCTGTGATCCTCCTGCCTCCATTTCCCAGTGTGCTGGGATTAGCAGTGTGCAGCGCTGCACCTGGCTTTCTTTTCTCAAGTGTTTTTGATCCATGGTTGGTCGAATCCAAGGGAGAGCTAACTGTACTATCTTGTTTAATTTGCAGAACACCGAAGTGTCATCCCACTTACTGTTGAGAACACTGAGCCTCACAGGGACCGAAGACTGACTCAGATGATGTAGCTCAGAAGTGGCAGAACTAGGATTTGAACCCATGTAGCGGCTCCTGCATCTATACTGTTTTTTTTTTTTTTTAAGTTTTTTTTTATTATAAGGCAAGACAAACAGAAAGCTACACAGAACAAATAGACAACCTAGTGAATTATATAAAGCAAGCGCCACTTTAACCACTCTACTGGCCCAAGAGTAGACCAGACCCCTAAGCCCCTAAGACCCCATGTGTGTCCCTCCTCCTTTCCAAAAGCAACTGCTGTTCTGACTTTCATAGTAAAAATGCTGGCATGTTTCTTTATGGTTTCGCCACCCTCCTCACTCCCTGGACACCGTCACTTTCATTCAGTTGGATCCAATTTTATTTTATTTTTTAAATTTTATGTATTTGAAACAGGATCTCACTATGCAGCTTGGACACATAGCAATCCTCCTGTTTCAGCCTTCCCAGCACTGGGATTACAAGCATGCACCACCATGTCCAGACTGGGTAGCCTGCTCAGCATGCCTGGGGGTAGGGCTAGCACAGCATGTGGTACCGGGGATAGAACCCAGATCCTTGCACTTGCCAAGACAGGCACTTAGACCACTGAGCTGTCTCCACAGTCTCTGAACCCATTTGTTTTCTTTCTTTCTTTATTTGGTACAGGGTCTCACCATGTGGCTGGCTTGGCACAGGGCTTGCATGGCATGAAGTACCAGAGCTCGAACTCGAGTCCTTGGTTTGCCAGGCAGGCGCTTAGACTACCGAGCTATCTCTCCGGCCCCGGTCCCATCTTTTAAGTCTCTTCTCCTTTTTTTTTTTTCTGGTGTGTGTGTGTGTGTGTGTGTGTGTGTGTGTGTGTGTGTGTGTATTTGTGTGTGTATTTGTATATCTGTGTTTGTGTTTGTATGTGTGTTGTTAGGGATGAAACCCAGGGCCTCATACATGGGAGGCAAGTGCTCTACCACTGAGCTACATCTCCAGCCCTTCAAATCTCTTAATTCCCCTCTCCTCCCTCTGTTTCTTATGCTTGACATCTTAGAGAATCCGTCGTGGTCCACTATAGTTTCCCAGTCTGGATTCTGCTGCTGGGAGCATGTTTCTTTGTCCTAGAAGTTCCTGCAGTTCCTCAAGGCATGATCAGACTCAAATGAGATACTTTTGCAGGCCCTAGGATGAGGTGTTTATCTCCTTCTGTCCAGGTGCCTAATGTCTACTCTTCTGTTTTATGATCAGAGGCCATGCCCTTTAAAAAAAAAAAAAAAACTGAGGATCGCAACCAGGCATGGTGGTGCACACCTGTAATTGCAGCACTTGGGGGATGAGGCAGGGAAATTGTTGCAAGTTCAAGACCAGCCTGGGCTACAAAGTGAGCTTAAGGCCAGTCTGAACTGCAAAGAAAGACCCTGTCTCAAAAAGACAAAAACAAAACAAAACCCTGAGGATGGATAGAGGGGCTTGTGCATGCTAGGCAATCTCTCTACCCCTCTTTTTTGCCTCCTCTTTTTTACCTCCAACTCTTTAACTTTATTTTGAGATAGGGTCTTGCTAAATTGCCCAGACAGGCCACAAACTTGAGATCCACCTGCCTCAGCCTCTCAAGAAGCGGGGTTTACAGTTGTGTGCTATGGGCTTGGCTAAAGCTCGTGTCTTAGGTGCTGTTACGGGAGCTGCCTGGCCACCTCCGGCTGCTCTGGATTTCTTCTGCCCCCTGCATAGATCCATCCCCAAGGCAAAGCTCTCCACAGCACCAGGCTTTCTGGGGCAGGTAGCTCCTCAGAGGTGTTACTTAAGCCTTCTAGTACATGGGATAGTTGGACTCCTGCTTAGTTTTCCAAAGAGACTCAGCTGTCCCTTTCCTCTGGGCCTTTGCATGTGTTGTTCCCTTGACTATAAATACCCTTCCTGCCCACCTCTTCTGACTGCGATTGCTTATCCGTCATAGTTTTGCAAGACTGCCCCTCCCCCGCATCTCCCCCAGAATGGAATGGGTACCTTTTTTTGGTGTGTGCCCTGGGGACTGAGCCTAGGACCTTCAACCTGAGCTACACCTCAACTCCCTCTTTTTATTTTGAGGCAGGGTCTCAATTGCTAAACTGTCCACATTGGGCTCAAAGTTCTGATCTTCCTACCTTAGTTTCCCAGAGTTGTGAGATTACAGGTGTTCACCATTATGCCCCGTAGGAGCCTTTTTTGCCTCCGCTGGCCCTAAGTCTAGCCTAGTTAGTACATTACCCTCATCTGTTTTGTTTGTTTGTTTTGAGATAGGGTCTTACTATGTAGTGCAGGCTGGCCTCCAACTCATGGAGATCCTCTTGCCTCTGCCTTTCGGATGCTGGGATTACAGGTGCTTGCCCAGCTTGTCTGTTTTCTTATCTATTTCCCCTACTAGACTCAGCTTCTTAAGGACTGAGACCCTGGCACAATACATAGAATTTAGGAGAAGCTCAATAAATGTCAGCAGGGGCTGCAGATAGCTCAGTGTTAAAAAGCTGGCCTAACAGCATGGGGCCCTATGTTCCATTCCCAGTACCACAACATAAATAGATAATTTCACACACATACATAAATCAGTGAATGAATTAGACTTTACAAACGCCAAGGAGGAAAACCAGGCTCAGTTTAAGGCCTTTCCAGTAATATGTGCTCTTCTGAAATGACTCACGGGTCTCCCTACCAAAGGAGGTATTAAAGCAAGGATGAACAGGGCAGAAAGAAATCCTACCTAGGAAAGGGCATCTCCATTCTTGAAAAGTCACAGAACCCTTTCTTCAAACAATCTTACTAAAAGCCTACAAGTGAAAGGGGGGTTCTGGGGTCCGGCATCAGAGGAGGCACAAGCACAGCCCCTGGGCTCCCTTCATCCTGAACACAAAGATTCCTTGTTTTTTTTTTTTTTTTTTTTTTGTGGAACCAGGGATTGAACTCAGATCCTTGTGTTTGCCAGTCAAGCGCTTATCCTACTGAGCCATCTCCCCGGCCCCACAAAGGTTCCTTTGAACAGTGGTCTTGCTATGACCTCAGCTGTCCTGCTGTTATTTTAGGAGGCCACACCCTGGGGACAGAGGTGTCCTAGCTTACTCCTAATTGGGGCCAGGGGCTGACCCTACCAGTTGAGAGAGATGCCTTCAGCTTGTCCTCCCCTCCCGCCAAGGGCACTGTGTCTGTGAAACAGCAGAGTCTCTGGGCAAAACTAAGCTGGTATGGAGGAGGCAGAACCTAGCAGGGCACAGAGCCAAGGGCTTAGCCTCAGAATTGGATTACTAGAGTGAATTGGGAGCGCCCAACCTCACGGGCCTCAGGGACATGGGGATTACCCGGGTCTCTGGCTGGGTCCACAGTCCAGCCCATATTATCTGCCAGGCCTGAGGACAAGAATCCTCTCTCTGCTGTGGCACAGGGGGCAGGAAGGCTCCACCCACCCACCAGCTCCAGGCTTTACCCCCACAGCCTGTCCCAGCTGTCTAGACACATGCTTGCCTCCCACATGCCTGGGACCTATGGCTGATCTCTTCAGACTGAGGTTCATTGGCTGGCTGAATCAGTATTCTCTGGTAACTTGTTAAAGATGCAGATTCAGGGAGCCCAACCCAAACACGGAATCAGAATCACTGGACCAAGGCCCAGATCTGTGGTTTAACAAATCTTCCAGGTCATTCTTATGCATGCTGAGGTAGAGAACTCATGGTTTGGACTCCACCGGCCACCATACATACCTGCCCAAGTATTACCCAGACTTTCCAAGCTCCCAAACTTCTCCTCCTGACTCCTTCAATCCTTACAAGAATTAATTACAATGATTATAACAGATGTAGTCTGCATTGACACAGTTCCACTGCATTTGTGAATAGCAGCCCCCAGAAGGACACAATCCAACACCCCCGTGTGCTTACTCTGTCCTGACCCCATCCTTTATTATCCCTGTCTTTTTACTGGTTCTGAGGTCACAGGGCTGAGGCAAACTAGGGTGGGCTCATGAGAAAACTGAGGTTCAGAGAGGAGACACGTCTGGCCCAAAATCACACAAGCAAACGCAGGTCTGACCACTGGACTTCCTGCTTTTCCCTCTCAGTGGAGGCTGGCAGCTGTCTCAACATCTGTCTCCTCTCACACTCCAGGATTTCCCCTAGGCCGAAGCGCTTGTCATCCCTTCCTCAGGAAATCCTTCCCCGACCTCCCTAGAGCAGGTCAGGTATTACATCTGCCAGAGGTCCCGGCCTTCTTCCTTTATAGCAGGCTCTCCATTTGTAATCACACGTGGATGTTTTCATGTTGTGTCTGTTTCCCTGACCAACACAAATACTCCCGGAAGTCAGGATACAGTGCAGACTCATGAGCCATTCTCCTCTTACAGAAACTAGTAAACACAGCACCGACACACTCACTTAAATAAACCCCTCAGCCTCCTTCTTGGGGAGGGACCAGGTTTGGGCTTATGAAATGAGAATGGGCAGGTCTATTACAGTTACTCCATAAATGTATGATAAATGCAGGAACGTTCAGCCAATTCAGGGCGTGCAGGTGGCGCTTGGTAAACGTATGCACTGTCTAACCAGGCCCAAGAAGCCAAGACCACCCTGGCTGTCATTCTCTTGGAAATATTTTTATTGGTTCTGAGATCACAGGGCTGAGGCGAGCTGGGGCGGGCATAGAGCTAAGGAGGGCAGCAAGAGGCTCTGCCCCAGGGCAGACATGCTGTGTGGGGTCTGCTGGCTGGCTCCCTGGCCCACCCAGCCAGCGGTGGCTGGGGACATGGCACTTGGCGCCTGGCACGACCTCTGCCGGCTTGGCACGGTGGCCTCCTCGTTGGTGGGCGCCCCCTTTTCCAGTTGCAGGAGTTGTGAGTCTTTCACAGTGCGGAGGGGTGGGGGTCCGGGGTGGGCACCTCCCCCGGGTGCAGGCAGGCCCCATCCGCCAGGACATCCTGGGCCCAGGCCAGCTGCGGTGGTGGCGGGCGAGGCCAGCTCCGGCTCTTCTTCTCCTCTCCCCACCTGGGGGTCTTGGCAGTCCTGGTGGGGCCCTCGAGGCCTCAACGGGACATCATCCGGACAAACTCTGCAAGGATACAGGAGCAGCAGGAAAGAAGCAGTCAGAGTCCACCAGGGCCCGCACTGGGCCCCAATATCCACTCTGCTTCCTCCAATCTATCTTCCACACAGCTTCCAATCTGTACTGCAACCTCTGCTTAAACCTCCAGGGCTCCCCTGGGGGGTCTTGCCTGATCTGATCCTGCTAGCAGCTCCAGCCACGTTGGCCCGTGCATCCCCAATCTATGCTGCGACCACACATATCTCATTTGCAGAATTCAGGCGGTTCGTGCCTGTGCTTCCCAGTGCAGGCTCTGTCTTCTCCATCCCCGCTGTCTCTCAGCTTTTCTGCACACTTCGCCTCCCTTGCTTCTCCCCTCCACCACTTCGATGATTGTTTCATTTGTTTGCTTGCTTTAGTAGTTTTAGCGGGATGCAAGCAAGAGTGACTGGATGGTACAGAGATTGCCCTTATACCTCCTGCCCCCCAACATGCATGGTTCCCCGACACTCACCACCATCCCTCCCCATTGAACTAATGCACCACACTGATCCACCCTTAGGACCCTGCAGCCATATTTATTTTAGCTTTTGCTCTTGGTGTCGTATATTCTGTAGTTTTAGACAAACATACAATAACGTGTGTCTGCTCTTATGATCACAGACAGTAGTTTCACTGCCTAAATCCTCTGTACTCGGCTGTTTATCCCCTTATCCTCTTTCCACAATCCTGGTGGCCTCTGATCTTTTTTCTGTTCTGATAAATTTGCCTTGCCCGTAACATCACAGAACTGGAATCAGACCGCGTGTAGCTCTTTGAGTCTGGCTTCTTTCCCTCAGTCACATGCATTTGAGGTTCCTCTGTGTCTTTTTTTTTTTTTATCATCATTGATTTCTTTTTTTTTTTTCAACAAATAATACACTGCATATATTCTTCTTTCTGTGTCTTTTTATGCTTGATTGCTCAATACTTTTTAATGGTGAATACTATTCCACAGTCTTCAATACACCACATTCATTTTCCCTGTTCACCTACTGAGGGACACCTTGGTTGCTTCCAAGCTTTTGGCAACTATGAAGAAAGCTTCTATAAATGTCCATGTGCAAGTTTCTATGTAGACATAGCTTTCAACTCACTTAGACAAATGCTCCTCCTCCTTTTTCTCCTCATAGCTTGCACCCATATTGCAGGGTTCCCTTTACCTACAACTTCCTCTACAGGGTCCCCCTATTTCTCCCCAGCTCGGCATAGGGACCCCTTCTACATTCCACATCCTACTTCCCCCAGTGCAGCACAATTCCACTACTTTTCTATTTTCCCTGCTGTTCTTGGGCTCTTCAAGGTAGGGGCCCAGTCTGAGGACATAGCAGGTACACAAGAAAGACAGCCTTGTAGACTCTGGGCGCAGTCAGGCTTTCAAGGGAGGGCTGCCACCTGCAGCATGCAGGTAGACAGTGGGACACAGGGGACCTGGGACTTTTCAGATCTGATGGTAGCAAAGCCATCTCTCCACCTATTCACCCCGCAAGGCAAATTTCTCCCCTGAAGACCTCTCAACCTTGTGTTCAGGACACACACATTGGCTCGGAATGCAAGTTCCCGGAATTCATGGTCAACATTTTCCTTCTCTCTCGTATCTCAGAGAATCTGCAGTGCTGTCACGAACAAGATTAGGTAGCAGGTGAGATTCCAGGCCTGGGTTTGTGCCTGGCTCTGACTCTGAATGGCCAGTCTTGAGCAAGTTATATTACTTCTCTGAGTCTGTTGCCTTCTCCTTTTTTTTTTCCACTTCCAAGGATTGAACTCAGTACATTATGCTTACCAGGCAAGTGCTTATTCTACTAAGTTATCTGCCCAGACCCTCAGTTACCTCTTTTGTAACAGGAGGCTCTAATGGTACAATCCATGAGTCACTGTGAAATTAAATCAGATAATATATGTGCATTTACTTACTACAATGATTTGTGCATAAGGGTACAATATGGTAACTATTGTGATTATTAATTCCTTTTTAGAAAAAAAACTCTTACGGAATATAGCTATGTGTCAGGTACCTTGTTAAGCAGGAAATACAAAGATTTAAAGAAAAAAAAAAAAAAAAAAGGCTCCAGGTTGAGAGATAGCTCGGTAGTGTAAGCGCCTGACTTCAAGCACAAGGACCCAGGTTTGATCTCCAGAGCCACATGCCAGGCCACCAGCCACTGAAACCCGGCGTGGTGGTGCACGCCTGTAATCCCAGCACTGGGGAGGCTATGCTAGGAGGATCACTATGAATCCGAGCTGCGTAGTAAGACCTTGTGCCAAATAAATAAATAAAATATTTTTTAAAAAAATAACAAGAATAACAACAAAAAAGGGCTCCATTTTTCTCTCCAATTTCAGGGCCAAGTCGGGCTGCAGCTACAATCAGCTGTGAGGAGACGATGTGAAGAACAGTGAGCCTGAAGCACTTATTCAGAGATGGCGATGGCAGGCGAAGAGGGGTGGGTGCAGGGTAAGGCAGGACAGTAGGGTTTGTCTGGCCGGATGACTGCGTGACGGACACATGGCTGAAGGGCTCCACGGACAACCTCCCTGGCTTGCTTCTCTCTCCTGCCTGCCAGCCCTACCTACCTTCAAAGTCCACTCGTCCATCCCCATTGAGGTCCACGTCTCGGATAATTTCCTCTATGTCCCGGTGGCCCACCTGATGGCCCAGGAGCTTCCTCATGGCCTCTCGCAGCTCACTGGTGCTTATCTCCCCATCACCATTGGTGTCAAACTAGAGAGGGCAGGAGGAAGGGGACAGAGGCACAGCATGGACACCAGTTGCAGCAGATCCCAAGCCAGAGATCCTTTTTGGCATCAGTGTCCCTCTTTCCTCTGCAGCCCTTCTCTGCCCAAGTCCCCTCCCCTGCTTTGGGGCCTAGGGCTTGGGCTTCTTTTCAAGTAGCCATCATCAGGCTGGGATTCAAACACTCAGCCCTCCCCTGCCGCTCACTGAGCCTCACCTACCTCTCGAAAGGCATCTCGCAGTTCCTTTACGCCAATCATATCTGCTGTCTCTGCCAGGAGTTTCGGCCCCATTAGCTCCACGAAGTCATCAAAATCCACATGGCCACCCACTGGGGCAAGAGGAAGGGGCCGGGTCACCCCCAACATACCCCTTCCCCACCCCCAGCAATGCAGGTGCAGGAATGGCCAACCTCTTCCCGATCTGCCTGTCTCAACATCCAAGGTATAAGCGAAGGTTAAACAAGGACAGAGAGGTGACCCCCAAATAGATGCCATGTCAAATACTGGCTCAGGGGAGTGGCCAGAGGTCAAGTAAGGGGACAGGTCAGGAAGCAGAGGCAGGAGATACCAAGTGGCGGGGGAGACACTCCAGATCACAGAGGCAGTAACAGAGAGACGCATCCACACCATGGAAAGGCAGCGAGGAGAAGGGGTTGGGGGATCCCAGTCTCACCCTTTTATGCAGATGCAAGCTCAACACCAAAGTGGCTCTCCCCAGAGGGAGAAGCACCAGAGAGCTGGCCCGCCCACATGGTCACCACTGGACAGGTGTTGGGGGATAATCCCTGCCCTGGGGATGGTGGAGAACTTGGAGGTAGGCAGCCTGTATTCATCCCAAGCCCAGCCTTCAGCCATCCGGAGAGGCAGCCGGCTTGAGAGGGCCCTGCCCTGTGCCAACCCCTTCCCACCTCTCTCCCCACTCCCCCCAATGCCTCCCTTCACAGACCAAACAAACATCTTGCATTGCACCCAGACTAAGACAGAGAATTGCATCCTTTGGATTGGTTCCACGTATCTGATGCGGTGCAGCGGCCTCTACTACATGTTCCTGCCTGTTTTAGTCATTGTTAACTGGTTTTATACCTGCAGCCTAATGTAAGCTTTCAGCTGATTACATGGTGAGCCTTTTTTTTTTTTTATGGCACTTTTGATTGAACCAGGGGCTTTCTGTCACTGAGCTACATCTCCAGCCCATTTTAAATTTTTTAGTTTGAGCAGGGTCTCATTAAGTTGTTCAAGACAAATTCAAAGTTGCCATCCTCCTGCCCCAGCCTCTCAAGTAGCTGGGATGATAGGTGTGCACCATCATGCCCCTCTCCTGCCGACCATTTTGTCTTGCCAGCCAGGTACAGTATCACACTCTTTGACATATATGTTCCCTCATTTACTTCCTGTGCTTCTCTCCCTTACTGCCACCCTCATTTGACAGGTTTGGAATTTGAGGCTCAGGGAGGGTACGCAGGTTCCACCAGGTCACAGAGCTGGAAAGAGACAAATGCAAAATTGGAACCCAGGCCCATGTGAACAGAAGGGAAGAGCTGCCCTGTGGAGGGACTCACGGTTCATGTTGATCTGCTGGGACAGCTCGATGAGCTCCATCTCAGTGGGCATGTAACCCATGGTGCGCATGCAGTTGCCCAGGTCCCGGCAGTTGATATAGCCATCCTTGTCCTTGTCAAATTCTCTGAAGGCCTCTCGGAGCTCTGGGGAAGTGAACCAAGGTGGATGGGGTTGGTGGCAGAACCCAGAGAGTCTCTGGAGACAAAGGCAGCCAGGGCTCAGCAGTTGGGAGGGCCAGCCCACACCCCCCAGGACTCAAGTGGCTTCAGCTTGCTCGAGGCTCACTCCTCCAGTGGCGGGCTCCACAGTGGGTCCCTGTCTGTCCCAGGTCCTGATCCCAGGAGGCCAACGTGCCTCTCTCTTCCCACCAAAAGCCCTCCCACATCTTCCCGGAGGGCTGAGCAGCCCTTTCCCCTGAGGTCCAAGTTTTACCTTCGATCTCTTCTGGCCGCAGTGATCTATCCTGAAACAGAAGAAATATATCCTATTAGCAGAGACAAGGGACCCAGAAATCACCAGATGCCCACCTGGTGGGGCTGCCCAAGTAGGAGCAAGCACCAGGTGGGAGCTGACAGAACAGAGCAGAAGTTTGTCTGGACTGTGTCCTTGAAGGGGAGAGATGCAGCCACACGTTTCCCATACACAGAAGCTCCTGGGTTCCAGGACCCAACACTGCCCTGGAGCCTGGGTACAGAACCTTCAGGTACAGGAATGTGCCTGGAACAGAGCTGGTCCAGAGGCAAAACCTGTAAATAAAAGAGGGCCAGGGGAAGTCACCCAGAGAGACTACCACCCAGTGCCATCGGAAGGAACCAGGGAGGGGAAGCCTGTAAGACAATGGGAGAAGAGGGGTGATGGCGCAGAGAAAGCAGGGTTGCACAGGCAGCCCCAGAGGGAAGGAGATGGAGCCAGAATTGGGACTGTGCCCTGCCTCCTGGGCACCGTCCCATCTTCCGCTATTTGACCATTATCCCTATACCTTGTCCTGTCATAGACACAGCACAGGACCCTGGAGGCTGCCAGTCTTTCTAGCTGCTGCCAGGGCCTAAAGCACACACCTCTAGCCTCCAGCAGAGCCTGGGTCTCCTTGGGGAATCAAAGAAACCCTGGGTCCAGGCATCAGAACAGATGGCAGAGAAGTCTCCAAAGAGTAGGCCCAGAGGAAGCAGGGGGCAGGCTCCGGAGGGTGCCCCAAGCTTGCCCAGGAGGAGACAGATTGGCACAGAATAGACACAGGTGCCCATGTTCCACTCCTCCGCCTTTGGGAAGGATATGCATGAGGCAGGTGTGGCCACCCAAGGTGGCTCACAGCAGGTGTGGGCACCTGTATCCAGAACACTCAGCAGGCACAGTGAGTGCAATGCACACAGGCTGTTCCAGCCATGGGCCCTGGCTGGGTGGAGGCTGCGGTGCCACCCACTGCACACCAGCCTGAAGGGAGGGACCTGGCCCCAAAAGGGCAGCTCTGCTGCTGAGTATGTGTGAACCTAGGACAGCAGCCAGCTAGCTCCCAGGTCCTCTAGGTGCCCTTTCCAGCTGAGGAAAGGAGTCACCTGAAGGGATCATCGTCTCTGTGAGGTGGTTGCTGCTGGGAGACTTTCAGTTAAAAAGGCTCCTTGCAATGGTGTTTGGCATAGGGTTTATCACTACTGTCCTAGACATGCAGGTGCACTCCTAGACTCTCGGGTGACCAAAAGATGGGCTTTTCCAATGGACTGTATTAACAGTAAGCTAAAGTGAGCACAGCTGTCACTCAATATTGGTGAGGAACGTGTTCCAGGTCTCCACGTGGGTGCTAACACCTAAGGGCACACAAGTTCCTTTATACAACAGGGTGTCATTAGCATCTAACCTCTCTGCACATCCTCCCCAACACTTTAATTCATCTCTGGATGACTTGGAATTTCTTGTACAACGCAAAGGCTATGCAAACAGTTGTTACGCTGCATAGGGAATGGTGTTGAGAAAAAGTAGTCTGCTCGTGCTTGTAGTCTGCTACAGATGCCCTGTTTGGAAGCCGGGTGCATGGTGCATACTTATAATCTCAGTGTTCTGGGACCCTGAGGCAGGGAGTGTTGCAAGTTTGAGCCCAGCCTGGGCAACTTAGAGAGATCTTGTCTCAAAATCAAAAACTAAAATAAATAAATATAAAAATGGAGAGAGGCTTGGTTTCAATCCCCAGAAATGGGGAAGGAATATTATTTCTTTGATCTACAGTTGGTTGCATCCACAGACCTCACGGAGAAGAAGGCCAGCCGTGTGCACGCATGCATCTATGCAAACGATACTCGCAGGGCCCGGCTACACAGCCGCACCACTTCCTTCCCACCCATCAGGGCGCTTTGACGCTCACCACAGCTCTTTCCATGTCCCTCACATGCACAGAGCCCCGCCAGCAGCCCGGGAGGCACCCTTCTTCCCAGCATGCCTGTGGCAGAAACCTTGGAGCAGGGCAGTGTGGGGCATGCGCTGCGACCAGGCGTCTGGCCAGGGTGGGAAACCATGTACCCTAGCCCAGGCAGTCAGTGGCATGAAGCATGTGCACTCCTTTCCCCCACGTTACGCAGTTGGGGTCAAGAGCTTGGGCCCCAGAGTCAGACAGATCCAAACAGAAATCCCAGATCTGCTGCTTTGTAGCCTTGGCACCAGGGACCGGTCACCTCCATTCTCTGAGCTACTGTGTCATCCTCAGTAATGTGAGCTGATACTAGCACTGACCCCACAGGCTTTTATGCCATAAGATATGTCTTTAACACGTGGCATTTAATAAATGACCTGGAAAGGCTGTATCTGTAACGTCAGCACCTCCTTCTTAAGACTCTGTGACTGTTCACAGAAGGCTAATACAGTAGCTACCAGCTACAGATGTCTGTTTAAATTTGACTTGGAATGAAACAAAATTAATTCAGTTCCTTTGTGGCACTAATCGCATTTTAAGGGGTCAGTGGTTCTCTGTGGCTAGTGGTTACTGTAATGGAGAGCATGGATTTTGGGGTTTTTTTTTTGTTGTTGTTGTTGTTGTTGTTGTTGTTTTTGCACATTAAGTACCTTTATTGCACAGATACAACAAACGTGCAAAAGAATTCTCAGTTCTGTATATTTGGGTTGTTGTTTTTTTTTCAAAACTATCAGGGTAGAAAACTCTACCAGATAGTGGTGTGTATCTAGAATCATTCCAAGCAGGAGGCTCTGAGGTCACACTATTTACCTCCTAGGCAACCGTTGACTATCTGGTCCTTCAGTTTCCTCGTCTATAGCCTGGGGATGATAAAAGTACCTACCTCTTGGAGTTTCTGAGGACTAAATGAGGCTGTCCACCAACACACTTAGTCCAGTGCTTAGCACATCATAAGTGCTCCACTGAATTTCATCTGCTAGTGTTATTTCTTGCTGGTGAACATGGGCTCACTTTGCAGCCAAGAAAGAGAAACTTTGGGGATCCAATTTGAGGAGAATCCACCAGAGGCCAGGAATTTCTGGATACAGAACCCCCTCTCCTTCCCAGTCCCTCTGTATACCCTGTGAAGCCAAGTTCAGCAAGCTCCACTGGGCCAACTTACGTACAGGCTGCCTGTTTTCAGCGAAGCCCTTGCGCAGAAAGATGCAGGCAGGGCCGAGCAGGTTGTGCATGACGGCGCAGTTCTGGGCCAGCATCAGGAGTGGTCCAGGGAGCTCGCCGCTGGCCGCCAGCCCCTCCTCACTGGTCTGCACCACCATGTAGCTGCTCTTCTCCTCTTGGTGCATCTGTAGCCCGCACCAAGCAAATGCAAAAGAGAAGCAGGGCATCACTTCCTTGCCCACATAGGCCCTCCTGGCCTGGCCTGGCTTCTGGGCCTGGTAGAAGTCTCCTCAAGGGAAGATGCTTACAGGTTGCCAGAGTCTCAGGATGCTTAGAGCCAGGTGTCACATTGGTCCCACTGATTGAAATGCTGATCCTTGACTGAAAGTTGTTCCAGGGAGAGCTGGGTGTGATGCTCTCTGTGTCATACATACACACGAACACACACACACATGCACACTGACACATACATGAGCACAGAATCACACATTTGTGTGCATGCTGAAGCTGAGAGGGAAACTCTGTCCTAACCAATGGGAAGCATTCTCTCCGAGCACGACAGAAGGCTGTCCTTTCCCCCAAATGTTCCTAGTATCCTGGTCCAATCCCTGGGGCCAACTCCTGTCTCCCAGGTCCCTCCTGGGCTCTGACCCTTCCCAGGTAGGATCCTATTGGAAAGCTGGGAGAGTGCTCGAGAGCTGACAACATGGAGAACATGCTGAGCTGGTTTGCTAGACTAGTAGTTGCAAGCAGGTGCTGTTGCTGCTGCAAACAGGCAGGTTGAAAGAGGTGCGGAGGGGGACGAAATGGGTGCTGTGTGTCCCACTGCCTGGGCAGCACCACTTAGCTCCACCCCACCCCCACCCCACTCCACCCCGTTGCCAGCCTTCTTGATCTAGAGCATCAGGTGAGCTAAATAAGACACTCCTGGCCAGTGCTTGGCTTCCACCCGCTTGTGACCTCAAGATCAGACAGGCTCCCAGCAGTTCTCTCCCTCCCGCCCGCCTTCCCTGGCTCCCTGCCCAGCATGCTGGACCTCCAGAGGCTGAGGCAAGGGCCTTGTCTGCTGACCGAAAATAGCAGTGATCCAAGGCCCTGGCCAGCCCCGTCCTCCTGCCCGCAGTTTCCCACGGAAACTGCTATAAAAAGTCAGCACTGCCCACAGACACAACATTAGGTCCCATCCTGGCCTCCCAGCATGCCCAGTGCCTCTCCAGCATCCAGGCCACAGCTCTCTACCCTTAGCCCTGCACTGGGTGGTCTCCCTTCAGGGTGGGAACCTGAAGCAGCCTCTTTCCAAAGATAGGCGGAGAAACTTAATTCCTGAGGACCTTCTTGGTCTGAGAACCCTGGAGTTACTACCCTCCTATCCAATTCACTTTATTTCTAGCCAGCTGCCTGTGGCTCAACAAAGGCCATGCCTAAGCAGGGATCCCAAGACCAAGGGGCAACCTATGCCCCCAAAGCAAGCCCTCTCCCTGTCTTCTAATGCTTCTCCCCAATCCTGTGGGGCATCAGATGGAGGCTCCTTTGCAGTCCTAGAGAGGGAGGAGCAGTAGTCTAGACCCCCAAAGAGCATTGATTCAGATTCAAGGATCCAAGCTTCAAGTTCAGCAAACATGAGAAGAGTCGGTTTCAGGAAATCACAAAACTGGAGAGATTATTGGATAGGCCAGGCACACATTCTAGCTGGATGCCGCAAGGAGGGGAGATTCGGGGCCTCCCTGCACTCGTTCCCACCCAGGCATGGACCCAGATGGCCCTTCCCAGCTGGGAGCGGGCACTGAAGGAAGCCTGGGACTGGACACAGCCTGACCCCAGGGAACAATCTCAGGAGATGTTTTCAGAAAATCAGACTTTGCATTTCCGGCTGAATCTCACGCACTTGGCTCCAAATGAACATAATCCAGAAAGGAGGAGGCAGCAGGTGGCACAGAACTCTGAGAGGCGGTTTAATATGCTGGCTTTGGACACAGTCTTATGGACTAGTTCTGTCTCTGCCACGGGCTTGCTGTGTGACCTTGGGCAGGTCACTTCAGTTCTTGGTGCGCCACTGCCCTTCTCTGTACAGAGGGGACAGCCATGTCTACTCAGAGGATTTTTGTGAGAAAGAAATGAGCCACTGCACGTAACGTGCTCCGAATAGCGTCTAGAACACCAAAAGAGCCAAATAAATGGAGTTGGGGGCTGGTGAGATGGCTCAGTGGTCTAAAGCACCTACCTAGAATAAGCTAAGCAAAGCACAGGGACCGCGGTTCAATCCCCCAGCACCACATGCCAGCCAGCCCCGCCCCCTGGTGGGCTGAGCTGGCCACACACACACACACACACACACACACACCACACACACAAATAAATAAATTAATTTTAAAAAAAACAAATAAATGGAGTTGCCATAGTGATGGCAATGATGATGGTGGTGACGGTGATGATGCAGTTTAAGGGATGCGAGGTGCCAAAAGGCATTTACTTCCGGCCCCAGGGAAAGCGGGGGAACATCTGCCAATCAGGAAGGAAAGAGAAGGATGGAGAGGAATCTGCTCCCACGAACAATGAGCCCGTGGTGGCTGGGGAATTTTCCACTGCATGTCTTGATCATAACACGGCCTGGCACCAAGCTGCCCCTGGAAGCCACAGTTCTCCTGTCAGTGATGGCACCTGACAGCCTGGTGCTGGCCAACTCCAAGCCTCGAGCAGGCCACCTCTTACCACGACCAGTTCCCCAGCTACCACTCAGGAAGCCGTGCCACTGGCTGACAGTGTCTCTTGGCATGGAAGGGACATGTCCTGGGCATGAGAAGGCCAGGGTGCCTCATGACCCGAAGGCTTTCTAACAACACAAGCTGGACAAAAGCACGTGAGTCAAAACTCCTTCTCCCCAAAGATTCAAGGAGAAACTGAAGGATTCAAGATTGAGGGAGGTTGAAGGGGGGCTGCTACTCTAAGTGGGAATTTGGATTAAACAACCGTGAAGGTCAGATTCAGGAATCTACAATAACATTTCTGAGAGCAAGAGAGAGACAGAGAGAGGAGGAAAAAATAAAAATAAAATCTCATTTGTAACTTTACACAGCCCAGGATCTAAATCCCAGCTCTGCTTGCTGGCATCTAGGTGACCTTAGAAAGGTTCTTATCTCTGTGACCAGCTCCTTTCTCTGCAAATTAGCAAAGAGAACTACTTAGTGGAAAAGAGCAAGTGAGACAGCAGACCTTGGATACTGTGTAAATAGGAAAAAGCAATGACTGCTCTTGTTCTAAGAAACATAACATTGCAAGCGATGAGTCTTATGATCTTTTACCCTATTTCATGGACTCAGAAGGTGAAGGTGTAGTTCAGTGGAAAAGCACGTGTGAGGCCCTGGATTTAAAGACAGTAACAACACCAAAATAACAACAACAACAACAACTTCTCCTGTTTTCCTTTTCCTCTTCACTTCCCTAAAGCCTAGAGTAGAAAAATTATGATTGCAATTGACAATATTGCTAACATTTATTGAGTACTATGTACTTTATTTAGTTTCTACAATTATCTAAAAAGATAGGTTTTAGGGCTGGGGGTGTAGCTCAATTGCTCAGCATGCGTAAGGCCATGATTTAATGTTCAGTGCACACACATGAGCATGCACACACGCACACACATGCACACACGCACACACATGCACACACGCACACACATGCACACACACACAGCAGGAAAGAAGAGAGAGGGAGAGGGAGAGAGAGAGAAATTGATCCACGGGTCCCCAGTTGTTGAACGAAGGCCCTGGGGCAAATGAAATAATCTCCTCAAGATCACATGAAAAGGGACACCGGAGTAGTGTGACTCTTTCAGCACTCTGAGTTGAAGATGGGTGAGGACACAAGGACGATGCTTGTTCTTAAGTTCAACTCCTTAAAGTCTAGGCAGAGCCCACTGTGCGTCATTGCCCTGTGGTACACTGGGCCAATTCGGATCAGTTTCTGCTTCTCTGAATCAGCTTGGGGCAGAAGACTCCCTTAAGATGACAGATGGGGGGTTGGGGACCCACAGAGAGACGCCATCAGCCTTCAGAAGGACTCAAGAAGCAGTGAAGATTAAATGGAATGTGATGTTAGCGGCTTAGCCAGAAGAGGAAGCTGCCAGGCAGAAGAGCCCAAAACGTCCTAAACTGAGAGGCCATCAAACTGATGCAAGGGGTAGGATGGGGCTCGGGGAAAGGAGCCATTCATCAACCTGCGACCTCACATGTGTTCCTAGCCTCTCTCAGCAGCAATCAAGTTCCTTTTCTAGAAAATTGAAGAATGGGAGGAAAACATCTCTATTGTTTTTTTCTTCCTTTAATAATATGAGCTTCAGTCAGGGATATAGCTCAGCGGCATAAGTGCCTGTCTGGCAAGTGCAAGTGCGATCCCAGGTTAAAAAAAAAAAAAAAAAAAAAAAAAATATATATATATATATATATATATATATATCTTCTAGGGCCTAAGAAGCCCACCTGAATCAAAACCCTACATGTCTGAGCCCAGACTTGCCTGAAAGACGCCTCAGGAGTGAGTACAGCCCCCAGAATGTGACTTCTGTCCACTCCTGCTCAACATAGCTCTTAGGCACCCTATTAGGCACCCTATTTCTATAGTTCTAAGCATGTCATTCTGATCTTTCTCGGGATGCTGTGACCTGTCTCAAGAATTACTAGGGGTAGAAAAAAGAGGAGTCTTTGCTTGGATCTCTTTAACCAAGAGATCCACTTCAAAAATCTCAATTCTGAGGACTTAAGAGGCTGCCAGAGAGGGGTACAAATCTTTAAAGAACATGAATAAGCCCTGGAGTCAGCTATTGGGATGGGTCTTCTAATCCTGCCCACTTCATGGGTGTCTATGTAGTGACATCCTAAGAATTCACACCTGCCACTCCACAGTCCAGAAGCCTCACAGCTACATGGTTTCCTTCTTACCTCTCATGCAAATGCCCACAGGCGGCCTCCCCTGGTCCCTGCCCCTTCCCACCCTCCACCCCTCACTCCCACCCTCTCCACCCCCCTCCACCCCCCACGACTCTAAGTTCCAACTTCAGCTCAGAGCTTAGGAAAGAAGAAACTGCAACCAGAAGGTATCTAGAAGAACAGGCAAGCAGCTCTAGACAGAACCCCTGAGCAGGATAGCAAGCTTCCGATGCCCACCCCCTTCCACGCTCAGATGGCAAGACGTCCCAGCCCCAGGGAACTCTGGAAACATACCTTCCTTGAGAGATGTCTCAGTGGCGACTTGACACAGTTGCCCATCCTAAGTTGAGGCAGCCCCTCTTGGGATCCCTGGGTCCATGAAGAAGGCTCCTTGGGGGACTAGGAGACCTCAGTTCAGGTCACGGCCAACCCCAGCCTCCCTCTGCCTATGTCGCTCTTCCTCCAGGAACGAGATAAGCCCTCTTGCTTGCGCGCGTGCTCTCTTACTCGTCTGCCTGTTCTTTGCTCTCTGATTTTTTTTAGGGTGGGGAGGTGGATTGTACGTGTGTTTGTGCGTCTGGGTTTAACTTTCTGGGCACTTTCTTAAGGAGACAAAGGCAGAAGAGGAGAGTGCAGTACACAGAGAAAATTGCCTGGAGAGCTGATGGCAGAAGGCAGCTGAGCTGAGAAGCCTGCGGGATCATCTACATCAGATTAGAGCGGAGTCCTTTCTCTGCTTCTTTCCCCTTCCCTTGGCCCCTCCTTTCCTGGCTGCCAAATCTGCTGGGAGATTGCCTCTGGGAGGGGACCCAGGGTGGCAGCTGTGGCTGGGAATTAGGCCAGCAGATCCACAAGGAGAAGCTGGCTAGTTTGGGCCCCCAAAGCCAGGGTGCCTCACAGCTTGCAGTCTCGTGTGCACACACTGACCACACACACACACACACACACACACACACACACTGCACACATGCGTGCATACACAAGCCCCTGGGGAGATGTATGCCTCCTTCGAAGAGCAGTGAGCTGGACAGGCGAACATCCTCATTGGCCTCTGGCAGTTCCAGCTGGATGGAGAGCAGGCAGCTGCAGTGAGGGCCTGGGAGATCTGGTGACGTCTCTATTACGCTCCATTTTTCACACTTGTCTCATCATTGAATTGGGAAGAGGCTCCGGGGCTGGCAGCAGAGCTGAGCTGACAGCTGAGATGGTCCTGAGGAGGCAGGACGGAAGCTGTGTTGGCACAGAAGGTGCGGGCAAGGTCTCTGGACCTTCTCCTCATGCACTGCCTAATCCTGAGTGAGGATCTTCTACGGGCTTTCCTGTGGTGCAGAGCAGGAAGAATGCCCTTTACCAATGGTCCTCGAGGTCTTACAGCTGCCAGTGTATAAGTGGCTGTGCTTCCTCATTCCTCCAGGTCCTGGCTTTGATGTGAATTCATCTCAAGGCTCACACACACGTCCTATTTGAGATCTACAGCCGGAGCCAGATAACCAGACAGGAAACATCTGTTTCCCGCATTCATTTTTGCCCAGCAGGGGGCACCAGAGATAACAGGGAGGAAGGATGTCTCCCGAGCTCCTGATTGGAACCAAGTCTTAATTAAACTTGCAGTGCAGAGTTTCAGCCCACACTGGCTCCAATTCCAGGGACTTTTGTCCAGTTTGGGTGGCTGGTAGAAAATCGTCTAGGGAAAATAGCTGGGGCACTGTCCAGGGAGTGGCACAGGCTTGCTCCTAGGAGACCGGGAGGAGGTTCCTGGGTGGCTCTCGATGATCACAATGCAGCCACTGCTAGTCAGGGAAAGGTTTAACCAGGGCACACACTCAGCAGCCTTGTTTGGGCCAAACCTCCAGACGAGGGGAGGGGGGAGGAGAGCACACCCTCATGGGGTGTGGATGCTTAAAAGGATGGCCAGGAATGGGAAGGGCAAGCCGCCAACATAAATGCCCTCTTCAAAGACTTCTTGTGGAAACAGAACATGAAGGAAGCACTCAGCAGGCCTGGGCTGGGTCGAGTTCACTGGACGCTGATGAACGGGAAGGATGGTGGGGGGGTGAGTCCTGTGTGCTGGTGACCATCTCCCATTCCTGAGCTTCCCTCTTCTCTGGTGGAAAATGGGGCTTCCCCTACCTTGCTAATAAAGCACACATGGGGAAGAGTGTGCCAAGTAACACGGACTCATTAAGTAATTATTCAAATAGAAGAGAGAAGGATCATTTGTCCAGCATTTATGTGACAGGCCCAGTGCTTGTCTCTCATGATAAACACAGTCCCTGCTTCAAGGGAGTTTATATACCAGTAGGCAGGCAAGAGGTAGAAAGAGGCTATGTGCCTAATTATTGCACTACATTTGAGACAAATGCTATGAAGGGAACCACAAGAGCTCTAAGAATATGAGACGGGGGAATCTGACTTAGCTGGAGGAATCAGGAAAGACTTCTACGGCTGTGGAGATAGCTCAGTGGTCTAAGAGCCTGCATAGGCAAGCGCAAGGACCAGGGTTTGATCCCCAGTACCATATGCCGTGCTGGCTCTGCCCCTGGTGTGCTGAGCTGGCCACTGAGCTGGGCATGGTGGTGCACACCTGTAATCCAGTATGGGGAAGGCTGAAAACAGGAGGATCATTATGAGTCTGAGCTGAGTAGTAGGACCCTGTACCAAATACATAAATAAAATAAAATAAAGACTTCTAGGGAAGATCTGGAAAAACGACAGGTGGGAAATATATGCCTGTAAACCTGGCTACTCAGGAGGCTGAGGCAGGAAGAGTGAGTTTGAGACCAGCCTGGGCAATCTGGAAAGAAGCTGTCTCAAAATAAAACAAATGAAAAGGCCTGAGGATATAGCTCTGAGGCCTATATCTTAAAGAAAACTGAGAAAAGAAAAGACAAGATGAGAAAAGAAGAGAGAAAAAAAAAAAGAAAGCCTAAAATCACACTAGTTAAAGGTGGAAACACGTAGAGGCAGCAGAGCAACAGGCAGGATTTTCAGTGCAGGCTGTAGACAAGGATCACATGAACCCCCCCCCCCAGAAGTTCTGGTTTAATAGCTCTATGTGGGTTCCATTACTTAGTCCACTCTCAGGGAATGCGAACCTGCACATAGCGGGCAGAGCCAGAGACCCCGCTGCTCAGAATGCAGTCAGACTAACCTGGCTTCAAATCTTGCCCTGCTGCTCAGTAACTGTGTGACCTTGCAGAGATGGTGGTCTTTCTGAGCTTCAGTTTCTTCATTTATAAAATGAGGATTCTAGTAATGTCCCCCTCAGGGCTCTCATGAGAGCCAATGGGATAATACTTGCAAAAAGTTTGGCCCAGTGTCAGGCACCTAGAAAATGTCCCCCTTCTCTGTCTGGTCAATGTTTTAAAGAGCCAGGGGCAGCATTCATTCATACAGCACGCACTCACTCAGACCTGGTGAATCCTGCCCTCTGCAGGCCATACCCAGTCACAGCACCAGCTTGTCGACCTTGGGATATGCCTCCGTCCTTGGAAACCGGAGACAGAAGACAGCAAAATCAGGCCCCTGGAAAAATCCAGCACTTGAAGAAAGCCCTTCCTGCTACAGTGAGGGAGGCTGACACTAGGCTGAGATTTAAGGGCAAAAGAAATCTAAGAGTTCAAATCTGGGGCTCCAGAGCTTTCTCAAACTAACAAGCTGGGCAGTGGTCAGACAGGGCAGACAGCTTGACCATCAACAGGAAACAAACCAGGGCTGGCAGGTAGGGGCTGCCCTGAGGAATAAAGCAGGTCACAAGGGCACCCTGCTCTCAATCCTTATCCACTGAGCAGCAGTCCTTGGGCCTCCGGAAGCCACACCTTTAGGTGTGGAATGGAATAATAGGATCAGGGGGATGAGAAGGATAAACCCCTTGTTGATTACTCCTGATTAGGATGGAGCTGGCCGTTGGTTCTGATCAGTTCTACCACCAGCATTTGAACTCGAATGACGGCTCTGTGCCAAGACACTTGGGGAAAGCTGAGTTGAAACATGAGAGGTGCTTTGTAGATGCTTCCAACAAACAGAGAATGCACATAAGTGGCTTTCAACCACGGCTGTATGGGCAGGTGTGTTTGGAGACAAGCAGTTCTGCCGTTACTCACTGTGTGATGTTTGGCAAACTCAGTCCCCTCTCCTGAGCCTGTTTCCTCATCTCTAAGTTGAGGGTGACAATGCTACCCTAAACAGACAGTTGTGAAGATAATGAGAATAGATCTTGGCCGTTGTTCAGTGGGTTCTAGACTGAGATCTCAGTTCCCTAGCTGCTTCCCAGAAAATGGTGACATCACAAAAAACTCTTACTCAAATGACTAAAGCTGCTACTGTCACCTGTAGTGGATGTTAGCCACAAACTGACCTTCTCTTTCCCCTGTCAACTTGTGGAGAAAAAGCAAAGAGGAGACTTGGCCAGGGTGGGAATGAGGAATATATACAACCCTTCTCCAGGGAACATAAGGCTGGGTGTTACTGAGTCCATCAGGACCCAAACCATCGGCATGGCCTCTCTCTCAATTTATTTATTTCATTATTATTTTTTTTTCTCTCTTTTGGTGGAACCGGGGATTGAATCTCTCTCAATTTAAACCACAGTACTAGGAAACTCTAAAATTCTGATGATTTCGATCCTCAGTGTGCCATGCCAGCCCTGCCCCAGGGGGTGCGGTGAGGTAGCAATTGAGACTGGGC